TAAAGTGTGAAAGGTGTTGTTGTTGTTGTTGTGTTTGTTGGAATCCATTTGTTTTCGTATAAATTATCGTTAGATATTTTTATTAAAGAACAATATAGTAAGTGACGTAAAAAAAAAAAATTTATTATAATAATTGAACGCAACAAATAATGATTTTATCTAGGATAAACTGTCCTTGAATATTTTTTTTTTTTCATATCTCTACATAACATCATTGTTAAGAAAAGTTTGTTACTCGAGACTGCGAAAGTAATTAAAAATTCTATTCTTTTTTTATATAAATATGTATTATTTAAAAAAGGAAATTTTAATTGTTATAAATAAAGTAGAAAAAGTACAAAAAAAAAAATTACTGTTAATAATTATTGCATGGTTCACGCAATCCATTAATATTAAAAAATGATAATAAATGTCATCATTTGAAAAAAAATTTGTTTATGTTAATTAATTACTATTATTATTATTATTAATTATATGAAAAGAAAAATGGCTGTCATAAAAAAAAAGGTCGATTCGAGTAAGAATCATTTGCAAAATTTAAACTTTACACCATTGATTGAAAATCGTTTAAAGTTTAAAAAAAAAAAAAAATTTTTCAATTTGTAATTATTTATTTTTTTTTGAATTCTATTATTTAAATTTCAGGTATTGTTACGCTCCGTTTGGTATTTATCTGGGCATAAAAAATGTCAAACCCAAAAAAGTTGTATCTATACCGGAATTGGAAAAATTATACCAAAGCGGAAAGAAAGTTGTTGGAAAAGAAATCAAATACACGGCAAATCAGTTGAAAATGACTGAAAGACAAGTGGAAAGATGGCTGAGAGTGAGGAGAGCCATGGACAAACCCACAACCCTTAAAAAATTCTGTGAAAATAGTTTTCGTTGCACATATTATATATATTCTTTCACATATGGATTAATTGTCCTCTGGGACAAACCTTGGCTGTGGAATATAAATTATTGTTGGTACGGGTACCCTCATCAGGTAGGCGAAGGAACCTCCTCCCCCCTTTTATCAATACATTTGTACGATTGTTGTCGAAATGACAATTATACGTTTTTACTTTCAGAGCGTTTCCAACGATATTTGGTGGTATTACATGATAAGCATGAGCTTTTATTGGTCCCTCGCCGTTAGTCAGTTTTTCGATGTTAAGCACAAAGACTTTTGGCAAATGTTCATTCATCACATAGCAACAATAATACTAATGGATTTTTCATGGGTGTGCAACATGCACAGAATAGGAAGTCTCGTTTTGGTCATACACGACTGTGCCGATGTGCTTTTAGAGGTGAGACTTTGACACGAGCAGGATCCGTGATATTACAAGAGAGACATTTCTGTTTTTTTTTTTTTTTTTTCCAAGCTAATACGAAATAAATAAAACGAAAACTTTTAATAAATAGGTCAGTGGTTAGCGGTTGTTTGAAAGCGCCGCGGTATGCAATGTCAAAAAGAATGACAAATGCAAATTGAAGTAACAAACGAAAAAGTTTTCATCAAGACTTTTTTTTTTTTTTTTTTTTTTTTGGTTTGGGGTTCGGGTTTTTACCGTGACAACAAAATGTAATGAAAAGGAAAATTCTTCAAGATAGAGAGCGTCCCCCCCCGTACGTACGTTGATAACATTATTTGAAGTAAAAAAAAAAAAATTATAAGGAACTGTAATAGGATCTTTAAAACATATACATACAATGTTGACCCTCTAGTTTTGTTATTGTTCAAATTACAATCAAATCAAATTGGATTAAAACATTGGAATAAATACGAAAAAAAAAACTGACCTTCAAAATATTTTATTAATCATTTGAAAAGAATTACTTAAAATTTTAAAAAAAGAAATTTTGAATAAACTTTGGAAGGAAAAAAAAAGAAAAATCAGGTTAAACGTAATTACCCTTTACTCAAAAGCTTTTCTTTTCTTTTTTTTTTAATTTGTTTAATTTGTTGTTGAGTTTTACAACTAGCTAGTTAGGGTCAACGATTTATTGTTTAATTTATCAAATTTACCTTTGACCTTTTTTTTTTTTTTTTCCCTTTTATAAACTTATTACGGATGATGTATTACGATTGTATCGACGGCTAATAACCGACGAGTCTTTAAAAATAAAAAAACTTTTTTTTTCATTTCAAATTGTAATTTTTTTTTTTGCAGGGAGCAAAAATGGCTAAATATGCCAACTACCAAAGAGTTTGCGACGGTTTATTTGTTGTTTTTACACTGGTTTGGATAATGACTCGTTTAGGATTGTATCCGTTTTGGATAATGAGAAATACGACGGTTCAAGCACCTAAAATAGTCGACATGTTTCCCGCTTATTATATTTTTAACAGTTTGTTGTTTCTTCTCTTAGCTTTACATATATTTTGGACTTATTTAATATTAAAAATAGCATATAATTCATTATTAGTCGGAAAGGTTCGTTATTTCTACGATTTTATTTCAAGGTTCGAATATGAACAAATCCTCACTTGCTATACCTGTTTTGTTTTTGTTTTAGATGGAAGGAGATATCAGGAGTTCATCTGATGAAGAAATAGAAAGTTCTCCATCGCCGAGCATTTCGGAAAACGGAGTCAAAAAACACGATTAGTTAAAAAAAAATTCATTTTAAACGAATAATAATAATAATAAAGAAATCTAGAAACAAATATTTATAAAAAAAAAAATTTCCCCCATGATGCTTTCGTTTCAGAAAATGTTTTTTTTTTGAATTGAATTGCGAATTTTTACTAAAACGTCAAGATGACAGACACACACCGTAA